TAAAAAAAAAAAAAAAAAAAAAAAGTAAAGAAGCAGAGAAAATATTCATAAATTATATATCTGATAAGGGACCTACAACTTAAAAGGACAGATAACCCAATTAAAAAATAGGCAAATGATATGAACAGTCATTTCTCCAAAAAAGATGTACAAATGGCCAATAAGTACATGAAAAGATGTTCAACATCATCAGTCATTAAGAAATACAAATTAAAACTACAGTGAGATACCACTTCATACCCACTATGATGGCTATGATAAAAAAAAGATGGTAACATGTTGATTCGGATGTGAAGAAATCGTAACCTTCATATACTGCTGGTGGGAGTGTAAAATGATGTGGCCAATTTGGAAAAGAGTCTGGCAGTTCCTCAAACAGTTAGAGAAACATAGAGGGCCAGGCAATGACTCACACCTGTAATCACAGCACTTTGGGAGGCTGAGCTAGGAGTATTGCTTAAAGCCAGGAGTTTGAGACCAGCCTGGGCAACAAATCAAGACCCTGTCTCTTAAAAAAAAAAAAAAAAAAAAAAAGTTAAACATTGATTTATCATTTGACTCAGCAGTTTCACTCATAGGTTCGTACCCCTGAGAAATGAAATCATATGTATGTAAATATTCATAGCATTATTTATAACAACCAAAAGATAAAAACAATCCAGATATCCATCAGCTTATGAATGGATAAGCAAAATGTAAATCATTATAAGGAAATATTATTTGACCATGAAAATAAAAAAAAACTGATTCATGCTATAACATGAAAGCCAGTTACAAAAGACCACATATTGTACAAGTTCATTTACATGAAATGTTAAGAATAGGCAAGTCTATGGAGACAATGTAGATTAGTGGCTGCATATGGAGGGGGAGGATGGGGTTATTGAGGGTGATGGGTAAAGGGTATGGGATATAACCATTCTAAAATTGATTGTGGTGATGGATTTACAACTCTTGAGTGTACTAATCATTGAATTGTACACATTGTATGAGTGAATTATATTTCAATAAAGCTGTTACCAAATTTTTTTAAATCTTAAAGAATGTAAAAAATAAGGATATTTAAATCTTTAACACAGTATCTAGCAAATAGTATGTCTTTAAGAGTAGCTATTGTTTGATAAATACCATTTTGAATTTTGCTTAGTGACATAGATTGAACTGGCATTAGTGTGTAAGATGGTTTGGTGATGGAAAAACCAGTCAGGACACTATTGTCATGGTTCAGACGAGAGACAATATAGGTGTCAGCTAAGATTATATCAGTAGGTATGGAAAGCAAGTGGTAATTTTTAACTACAAGTAAGTGGTGACATTTTGCAGATAGAACATGAAAGTAAAAGCCACAGGATTTGTTTACTGATTGTGATGGATGAAGAGTGATGTATCTGTCAGCCAGAATATAATTAAAAACTACATAGTAACAAGTGCACAAAAACATCCAATTTAGTAGAATGGTGGTGACAGTAGTACAAAAAAGTCCAAATGCCGCCTAGCTTATTGTTAAATGCTGAGGATTCTAAGATGGCTTCTGCCCTCAATAGGAGACTGGTATAAGCAAGGACAATATAATGGAGTTGTATTTTCTAATGTCAGCATATGAAATGAAAAAAATTTTTCAAAACTACCTTTGAAAATCTTTTAGGGTAGCACATGGGGTCCTCCCAGTAGTTCTGTCAGAGCCAGTTTTTTCCAATGTTGGAAATAAATCTGATTTGGCTGATCACCAGATGAAGTAGTTGGCTTGGGTTTTGGGGGCCCTATTGTAGTCAATCAGACAATCAGTTATTTATCAAACACTTAATACTAGGCTCTAAAGATATCCCTGTTCTCGAGGAGCTTACATTCTAGTGGGGGAGACAAACGGTAAACACAGAATTTCAGATGCTTTTAAGTGCTATAAGGAAAATTAAATAATGAGCATAGCTGGTAGTGGTGGTTATGCTGGTGGCCCCTACTAATGCTACAGTGTTCAGGAAGTACCTTTCTGAGGAGATGACATTTTTCATTTTTTTGAGACAGCCTGGCTCTGTCGCCTTAGGCTGGAGTGGAGTAGCAAGATCTTGGCTTACTGCAACCTCTGCCTCCCGGGCTCAAGTGATTCTCCCCTGTGAGCCTCCCAAGTAGCTGTGATTACAAGTGCATACTACCATGCCTCACTAATTTTTGCATTTTATTGTAGAGATGGGGTCTCACCATGTTGCCAGGCTAGTCTCCAACTCCTGGGTTTAAGTGATCTACCTGCCTTGGCCTCCCAAAGTGCTAGGATTAAAGGTGTGAGCCACTGTGCCCAGCCAGGAGACGACATTTGAGATGACACCATGGAGAACATTCCCAGTAGAAGCAATAGCAAGTACAAAGGTCCTGAGAAACTCTGGTGCATTTGGTCACGAGCTTGGTATGTTTGAACTGAAGGCCACTGTGTTCAGAGTTTAGTGATTAGAAAGTGAAAAAGGATGAGATGAGGGATGTAGGCAGGGACCAGATTATCTAGGGCCTAATAGACCATCATCAGGAGTTTGGATTTTATTCTGTTCCAGTGAAAAGCTATTAAAGAAGTTTAATCATAGGAATAACATGACCCAGTTTATTCTTTAGAAAGATCACTCTGACTCAGGGTTTCCTCTGCCTCCCAGGTTCAAGCGATTCTTCTGCCTCAGCCTCCAGAGTAGCTGGGACTTCAGGAGTATACCGAAGTAATTTTTGTATTTTTAGTAGAGACAGGGTTTCATCATGTTGGCCAGGATGGTCTCGATTTCTTCAACTTGAGATCCGCTCGCCTAAGTCTCCCAAAGTGCTGGGATTACCAGTGTGAGCCACCGTGCCCGGCCAACTAAGGGTTTCTTAACATCAGCACTATTGACATTTTAGGGCTGAATTAATTCTTTTTGTAGGGACTGTAAGATGCTTGCAGCATCCTCCAACATTGTAGGCATTGTAGGATACATACTTTGTTTAGAATCCTTGGCCTTCACCCACTAGATGCTAGTAACCCCACCACCTTCCCTGAGTTGTGACAACCAAAAATGTCTCCATACATTGTCAGGACAAAATTACTATTCTAATGAAACAAAAAGAAAAAGGATGTGTACTTAAATATCGGACTCCAGGCCGGGTGTGGTGGCTCACCCTTGTATCCCAGCACTTTGGGAGTGCTTCAGCTGATCCACCCGCCTCAGCTTTGAGCCTCAAAGCTGAGGCGGGTGGATCACCTGAGGTCAGGAGTTCTCCTGGCCAACATGGCAAACCCCCATCTCTCTTAAAAATACAAAAAATTAGCCTTGGTGGTGGATGCCTGTAATCCCAGCTACTTGGGAGGCTGAGGCAGAATTGCTTGAACCCAGGAGGCAGAGGTTGCAGTGAGCCAAGATGGTGCCATTGTATTCCAGCCTTGGCAACAGAGAGAGACTGTCTCAAAAAAACGAAACAAAAAAACCAGACTGTGACACAGTGGGATGTTCACATTAGAAGCATAATGGCTCTTATTTCATACAAACTCTAGAATATATGATGGCTTTCAGAGATGTTAAGCAGGGCGCGATGGCTCATGCCTGTAATCCCAACACTTTAGAAGGCTGAGGTGGGTGGATTGCTTGAGGCCAGAAGTTTGAGACCAGCCTGGCCAACATGGCAAAACCCTGTCTCTACTAAAAATACAAAAAATTAGCTGGGTGTGGTGGCACATGCCTGTAATCCCAGCTACACGGGAGGCTGCGGCACGAGAATTGCTTGAACCCGGAGGCAGAGGTTGCAGTGAGCCTAGATCACGCCACTGCACTCCAGCCTGGGTGATAAAGCGAAACTCTGTCTCCCAAAAAAAAAAAAAAAAAAAATTGAAGGAAAAAGGTCCAGTTGAATTACAAAAAAAGCAGCTCAGGAAGAGTTTCTTGGAGCAAAAGGGAGATGAGCAACCTTGGAAACAAGTCTAATTAGATGAATAATTTTTAAAAATATTTATTAGAGACAGGGTTTCACCATGTTGGTCAGAATAGTCTTGATCTCCTGACCTCATGATCCACCCCCGTTGGCCTCCCAAAGTGCTGGGATTACAGGCATGATCCACTTTGCCTGGCCGACTTTTTAATATATGAATCATATTAAGAGATTTCTTAATATTGAGCCATCTTTAGTTTTCTGAAACAAACCCTATGTTATTCCCTTAATATGCTGTCATGTTTGGTTTGCTACTATATTGTAAACTTTTGCATCTCTATTAAGAGGCAAAATGGGTCTATACTCTCCTTATGTTATCTTTGTGACCATTTGAACTGGACTTATACAGTGAAATGTGAAATCTTGTATCTTTTCCTGTACTCTGGAAGAGCAGAAAAATTATTTTTTGAGAATTTCATAAAATTAGTTATCAAACCACCTGGGCTTTGTGCCTTCTGGGGGAGAGATCATTGACAATCTTCTCAGTTCCTTTATGGTAACTGATTTTTCCATCTCTTCTCCAGTCACAGCAAGGATCAGCGATTGTGGCTATTTCATGGGGAATATCTGAAGAGGGACAGCTACAGGGATGTCATGGGGCTGCATGTCATGGGGTTAAACAGTATGGGTCATGGGGAGCTTTGGCATTTGAAGGGCTCTCATAGGTTGTGATGTCTGGGGGAGCATAGCTGTCTCTCAGGTAGGCATTGCTGGGCTTGGCCACCTTTAGGTAGACAACACCATACGTGTTCTTCAGGGCTGCCACAGCACCTTCATGCACGACATCCTCCAACCCCACACTGTTGACCGCCAGGATCTTGTCTCCAATCTGCAACCTCCCATCCTTGTGGGCAGCACCCCCTTTCATGATCTTTGTTACATAGATGCTATTATCTCCTGGGATGTGCTGGTTCCCTACGCCCCCTGCGATGCTGAAGCCAAGACCTTTAGGCCCCTGGATGAGCTTGATCTCCATGACCTTCTCAGCCGGGGGCTTCCGGCGCATGACATAGAGGCGAACAATGGAGCCTGCCTCTTTGAGGGCCTCCACTGCTGCTGGGTGGGTCACCTCACGCATGTCCACTTCATTTACAAACAGGATGCTGTCATTGACCCTGAGGCGGCCATCCTGGGCTGCAGCCCCACCAGGAATGATCTTGGTGATGAAAATGGACAGATTGCCACTGATGTGTGGGTTGTCAGTGCCATCTGCGATGCTGAAGCCCAGACCTGAGTTACCCCTTTCCAATGTGATCTCCTCATATTCCATCTCCCCCTCAGTCATGTTCACATATCCTGGGGCTTCTACGGTATCTGTGTTGACAATTACAGGGGGAGAATTGGCCTGGCCTATTTCTCCTCTGTGGGACCAAGGTGTTTCCAGCCCCCCAAAGGCCCCCTCCTCCGTAGATGAATAATTGTTAAAAGATGAGCAGTGTTTTCTAGACAGAGGAAGCATGAGGAAAGGGTCTCTGATCCTAGAATGACTTTTATGCCAGGAAGAAAGCATGACTTGAAAGGATGAAATGGGAAATATCGTGGTAGACTATTGGACTATTCCTGCAGCTCAGAAAAGTGGCCTGGAAATAAGAGGTTTGGCAAATATTCTGTTATGGCGGTAATTAAGGCAGAGGGAGGGTTTGGGGCAAGCTCACCAAGGGAACTCTGTAGAATGAAGAATAGTAAGTCTTCTCAGGGAATGCTTAAATCCTGGAGGTCTCTGGGGTAGGTAGGACAGAAAGTCCTGTTATTTGCCAGGTATTTGCCAGGTAGACAGACTGTTGGGTGTCGGGGAATTAATGCTGGTCACCCAAAGAGTTGTGCAGCTTTGTCTACCATTGTTAAATGAGGCAGTGATCTGGCTCAAATACTTTTCTCTCCACACCCCTATTTGGAAGCCATGTATATTTTGCTTGCTCTTCCCATTTAAAATCGTAATCCATTCTATTCCACCCCCATGAGGAAGCTTTTGGGTAGAAAAGTGTGTGGAGGAATAAATAAGTTGATGTGTATCAGGTGTGCAAACTTTAGTGCGCATCAGAACCCCCTGGAGGGCTTATTAAAACAGATCGCTGGGCACCACCCCAGGAGTTTGATTCAGTAGGTCTAAGGTGGAGTTCAATAATCTGCATTACTAACATGTTTCCAGGTGATGCTGCTGTTCCGGAGACTACACCCAGAAACTACCTTAATTCACTCTAAAATGTAGCTGATTGGTTTTTGCTCTAGAATAGGAACTCCTTAATGAGTTTAAGATATTCATCTGAGCCCTTGTAATTGCCCCAAATACTTAATACTATGTGTGTTTAATGCTCTAGCACACGAGGGGAGCCTAGAATCACCTAACAACTCCCTTCGGGAGTGATTCTGATTAGTGCATCTACAGTTCCGACTAAGATTTCCCACAAATATTAATTATTTTCACAGGAGGCTAATAAAAAAAGCCGTCTTTGTTCCCAGAAAATACCTGGAGGACGGTATTTCAGTGGCAAAGAGGCTGTACCAGTCTCCCAGTCTCAGCCCTTCTCTGCCGCCCACCACTGAAGGGGCCCCAGCTACCTCCGGGAGTGCTGCAACTTCCTAGGTGACTTGAAGCAGCCTTAAAAGGGATTGGCTCAGGGTCCTTGCGACAGAGAAATGTGATTAAAAATCAGCTGGGCCACCCAAAGGGAGCGTCTTTTCCACCAGGTGGAGCCGAGGGGCGGGGCTCAGGGACAGCCCACTTCCGGCGCCGCCCTCTCCGGCTCCGGGGGCGTTCCCGGCTGCAGCCGCGATCCTAACGGGCTCGCGAGACGCCCCGCCCTCCCTGGGCTCGCCCCCGGCTCCATTTTGCCGACGACCAGGTTTGGCTGTGACGCTGCTGCTGGGGTCAGGTGAGGCGCGGCGCCCCCCTCCCCTTCCCAACTCCTAGTCCGCCTCTGTCGTCTCGCCCCCAACCTGCTTGGCGTGCCGCCGTCCCAGAGCTGGTGGGACGCGGCGGCAGGGCCATGTGGACCTCCCGGATGGCTGCGATTCGGTGTGCGCGTTTCGGAGCCGGGCTGCCTGCCAGGGTGTGTTGGGGTGGCGTGGGTGAGGCGGCCGGCCCGGCTTGCAGGAAGATTGGAAGCCCTTCGGTCCGTACGGAAATCCCAGGGACCAGTGGCGCGCCGCCCTCGGGCAGGTGGAGGGGCTGAGGCCGGAGCGTGGCCCAGCCGCCTCGCGGGAGGCCGAGTAGGGAAACGCACGGGCAGTGCTAAAAGCCGTCTGGCTGGTTGGTGGTGGCTGTACTTTCCGGTGACACAGCAAATTTAGGGAAACTTGGGAAATTTTTACTGTGCTTAGTGAACCAGGCCAAGGTTGTACGCTGACTCTTGTTTACAGTTCTTGGAAACTATTCTAGAATAGCATTCCAGATTTGATTCCTGTTCCCCAACCAGCAGCCAATGTGTGTTGAAATTAACTTATTCTGTGCAAACACTGCCCAAGGAAACCAAGATGCAGAGGTAGATGGCTGATGTCCACCCTAAAGTGACAGAAATGACGCTATCTTCGACTGCCTTAAATGCCCTAATTTTTGCTAGCTGATAGCCAGCTAATCTGCCAAATGTGTGTAATGAGTTACCTTCCAGGCAAGGAAAAAGTTTCAAGCACTAAATAGGTAGAAGAGATAATTTGGGCCACTGCAAACTTTCAGTCCTTTTCAGTGAGGACTGCCTTTCAGTCCTCACTGGTGGGTGGCTACCTACCTGTCCGTGCAGAGGACTAGCCATGCCTCCACTTTCTTTCTCCAAATCTCTGATTGATTTAAATGATCCTACCGGTTTTGCAAAGTTGTATTCTCTGTTGCTTGTCTTCAGCCATCCTTCTTGTTTTGTGTATTTTTTTTCTCCCCATAAATTTGCAACAGCTGCCTCTTGGGTTCCTGGGCTTCATGCCATCTATGAGAAACAGTGAGACCCAGCCCTTTTACTGACTGACTCACTGGATGGAGATGGTTTGGAGAACCAAGAATGATTTTTTAGTTTTTTGAAAGTGGTTGCTAACAGAAAATGTTAAAAAAAAAACAAAAAAAAAAAGAAAAGCAGTTCTGGTTCACCAGTATATATTTATCACTTGGGCAAAGTTAAGAAATTTGTCTGGTTACTCTAGGCGTTACTTAGCTTTTTACAAAAACTTTAAAAATCTGCCTCTTGAATAGATGATATATGCTCATTTCTAAAAGAGCTAAAGGTACATTGAAAAGTAAGTCTCCTCTGTTGTGTCCCAGCTCTTCATCCAGGAAGCAGTCACTGTTTTCTACTTCCTTGAGTGTCCTTTCAGAAATATTCTATAGGTCAGAATCGGTGCATTTTTTACATATATGGCTGCAGATTATGCAGTTTTTCCCTTTGCTTTTTTTTTTTTCACCTAATTTGTGTTAGAGATGGTTTCATATATGGGTAAAGAAAACAAAAAAGCTGACTCATTTTTAATAACCCCTTAACACTTTCTTGTATGGCTCTCCATAATCTATTTCACCTGTCCCTCCTTTTTTAAAAATTTCAGCAGCGGCTGGGCACAGTGGCTCACACCCGTAATCCCAGCACTTTGGGAGGTTGAAGTGGGATATCACTTGAGGTCAGGAGTTTGAGACCAGCCTGGCCAACATGGCGATACCCTGTCTCTACTAAAAATACAAAAATTAGCTGGTTGTGGTGGTGCGCTCCTGTAGTCCCAGCTACTTGGGAGGCTGAGGCAGGAGAATCGCTTGAACCTGGGAAGCTGAGGTTGTAGTGAGCCGAGATCATGACACTCCAGACTGAGTGACAGAGCAAGACTCTATCTCCAAAAAATAAAATAAAATTTTGATAGCTTTTGGAGTACAAGTGGTGTTTTGTTACATGAATGAATTTTATGGTGGTAAATTCTGAGATTTTAAGTCACCTGAGCAATGTACACTGTACCTAATGTGTAGTTTTTTATTCCTAACTCTCTCTCACCCTCCCCTTTTTGAGTCTCTAAAGTTCATTATATCACTTCGTACCTATGCCTTGGCATAGTCATAGCTTAGCTCCCACTTACAAAGTGAGAACACAGAGCTTTTGGTTTTCCACTCCTGTGTTACTTCACTTAGAAAAATGGCCTCCAGCTTCATCCAAGTTGCTGCAAAAGACATTATTTCATTCCTTTTAATGGCTGAGTAGTATTCCATGGTGTATATATACCACATTTTCTTTATCCACCTGTCAGTTGATGGGCACTTAGGTTGGTTTCACATCTTTGTAAGTGTGAATTGTGCACTATAAATATATATGTGCAAATGTCTTTTTCATATAATGACTTCCTTTCCATTGGGCAGATACCCAGCAGTGGAATTTCTGGATTGATGATGTATCTATTTTAGCTGTTTAAGGAGTCGCCATACTGTTTTCTGTAGAGGTTGTATAAGTGGTCCCTTTTCCCCACATCCACACCAACATCTATTGTTTTTTGACTTTTTAATTTTTGAGACTGAATCTTGCTCTTGTTGACCAGGATGGAGTACAATGGCCTGATCTCAGCTTATCCCAACCTCCGCCTCCTGGGTTGAAGCGATTCTCCTGTCTCAGCTTCCTAAGTATCTAGATTACAGGCATGTGCACCACATCTGGCTAATTTTGTATTTTTAGTAGAAACAGGGTTTCTTCATGTTTGTCAGGCTGATCTCGAACTCCTGACCTCAGATGATCCATCCACCTTGGCCTCCCAGAGTGCTGGGATTACAGGTGTGAGCCACTGCGCCCAGCCGTATTTTGATGTTTTAATAATGACCATTCTTGTAAGAGCAAGGTGGTATCTCATTGTGGTTAGTTTGCATTTCCCTGATGATTAATGATGTTGAACATTTTTTCATGTTTGTTGGCCGTTTGTGTATCTTCTTTTGAAAAATGTCTATTCATGTCCTTTGCCCACTTTTTAATGTAATTTTTTTTCTTTGCAATTTGAGTTCTTGTAGATTCTGGATATTAGTCCTTTGTTGGGTGCATAGTTTGAAGATAATTTCTCCCATTCTGAGGGTTGTTTGTTACTCCGTTGATTATTTCTTTTGCTGTGCAGAAGCTTTTTAGTTTAATTAGGTCCCATTTATTTATTTTTAATTTTGTTGCATTTGTTTTTGGAGTCTTAGTCATGAGTTCTTTGCCAAGGCCAATGTCTAGAAGACTTTTTCCAGTGTTGTAGAATTTTTATAGTTTCAGGCGTTATATTTAAGTCTTTGATCAACTTGAGTTGATTTTTGTATAGGGTGACAGATAGGAATCCAGTTTCATTCTTCATGTGGCTAGCCAGTTTTCCTAGCACCATTCATTAAATAGGGTGTCCATTCCCCAATTTTTGTTTTTGTGTGCTTTGTTAAAGAGCAGTTGGCTGTATGTATTTGGCTTTATTTCTGGGTTCTCTATTCTGTTTCATTGGTCTATGTGCCTACTTTTATACCAGTACCATGCTGTTCTGGTAGCTATAGGCTTGCAGTATATTTGAAGTCTGGTAATGTGATGTTTCCAGATTGTCTGGAGGAAAAGGAAGAATTTTAGGATTGTTCTAATTCTGTGAAAAATGATGTTGGTATTTTGATGGGAATTGCATTTAGTCTGTAGATTGCTTTGGGCAGTATGATCATTTTCACAGTATTGATTCTTCCAGTTCATGAGCATGGGATGACTTTCCATTTGTTTGTATCGTCTGTGATTTCTTTTGGCAGTCTTTTGTAGTTCTCCTTGTAGAGATCTGTCATCTCCTTGGTTAAGTATATTTCTGGGTATTCTGGTTTTTTTTTTTTTTTTTTTTTTTTGTAGCTGTTGTGAAAGGAATTGAGGGCCGGGCGTGGTGGTTCACACCTGTAATCCCAGCACTTTGGGAGGCCAAGGTGGGCAGATCACCTGAGGTTGGGAGTTTGAGACCAGCCTGACCAACATGGAGAAACCCCGTTCTACTAAAAATATAAAAAATGAGCTGGACGTGGTGGCACATGCCTGTAATCCCAGCTAACTTGGGAGGCTGAGGCAGGAAAATCGCTTGAACCAGGGAGGCAGAGGTTGCAGTGAGCCGAGATAACATTGCACTCCAGCCTGGGCAACAAGAGCGAAACTCTGTCTTGGGGAAAAAAAAAAAAAAAAAAGGGAATTGAGTTCTTTATTTGAATCTCAACTTGGACATTGTTGATGTATAGCAGTGCTACGAATTTGTGTACATTGATTTTCTAACCTGAGACTTCACTGAATTCGTTTATCAAGCCTAAAAGTCTGTGGGAGTCTTTAGGATTTCCTTGGTATACAGTCATATCATCTGCAAACAGTCATAGTTTGACTTCCTCTTTTCCAATTTGGATGCCCTTTATTGCTTTCCCTTGACTAATTGCTCTGGCTAGTACTTCTAAAACAGCGTTGAATAGGAGTGGTGAAAGTGGGCATCCTTGTCCTGTTCTTGTTCTCAGGGGGAATGCTTTCAACTTTTCCCCATTCAGTATGATGTTGGCTTTGTTGTATATGGCTTTTATTATTTTGAGTTAGGTCCTTTCTGTGCTTAGTTTGTTGAGAGTTTTTATCGTAAAGGGGTGCTGGATTTTGTTGAATGCATTTTCTGCATCTATTGAGATGATTGTGTGGTTTTTGTCTTTAATTCTTTTTATGTGATGTATCACATTTATTGACTTGGATATGTTAAATCATTCCTGTATCCCTGGGATGACACCTGTCCCTTATTGGTGGATGTTCAGATGGTCTTTAACCTTTTCCTATTACAAAAATGCTGTAATGAGTAGCCTTGTACATATATAATTTTGTCCCCTTGGAAGTATTTCTATAATATATATTCCTAGAAATGGAATTGCATT